AAACAATTTGTCATAATACAGTTTTAACATCTACTGTACACACGTTACAATACAAGTTGTCAATTTGTGACTCTACAATTCTAGATATGTATCAGATCTCCAGCTCTTATGGTCCTGTAGCTAGAGGTGGCCTTCGGCGTCCATCCTATCTATTTCTGCGCCAGATTAATGCGGCCTCAATTGAGCCGTTTTTACAAAAAGCCGGTAAATATCCATAGGCTACAAGTCATCTTAAGTATTTTCTGAAATTCGTATTAATTTTGGATCGGAAATCAATGAGTTATGAGTGTTTAATTTAATAAAGAGCTATGGGACCATAAGAGCTGGAGATCTGAGACATGTCTAGAATTGTAGAGTCACATACGGACTATCAGTCCATGATATTTGAATTTCATTGTTTCTGAAGGAAACGGCAACTTTATCTTTCAAAGCTCAATGTGGTATACCACTTGCAGGTGGTATCCGTACCGGTTGTGCTTTTTGTTCGTATGTCAAAAGTTTTGGCTTTCGGTTAGTGAAAATTGCAGGTACGTTGCTCTTTCCTGTCAAAAGTTATTGAGAAAACAACAGAGTACGTTGTATTTTGAAACGGTTCGTGGCAATCAATAAAGGAATCATAAAAAGCATAATGGAATCAATTGTACTATTAAAATCTCTAAACAACAACGACAAAGCTGATCAAGGGTGAATGGAATATATTTTGACCTTAAGAGCATGTGAGCTAGCTTGTACATTCAAGGCTGTTCTTCTCTTTCGTATGTTGACATTTACTAAAGAACCTCTTGAAGTGTCGACTGCTTTTTCCTTTATACATGGATAGATACAGGTAATTTTTTAACTTGATGTTCATTTACGCCCAAACGATCTTCAAGAATGGATCTTTGGAGAGCCGGTCATATTAAAATCCGAGATGGAGAGATTTTGATCTGTCTCTCTTGTAAAGCATGTCGAGTTACTTCTGTGAAAAAGCTTTTGGACTTAAAGAATGACTTATGGATACGTTCAAAGAATTTTATGTCCCGAACGAACATCGGGTTCGAGATCAGCATAAAAAACTACCTGTATCCATGAATGTATGAAGGAAAACGCGATTGAACGCCTCGAGAGATTTTCTCATTAGCTGTCAGAGAATTATTACAGGTACCGAGCGATCATGTTTGAGCACTAGAATTGATTACTACATCGAGCGTCTTCGATCTACGGCATTTAGACCAGATTACAAATTTATTTTTGAGACTGTTAGTGTTGTATCGACAACAACAGCAGATAAAACTTTGAGATATCTTAGGAAAATAAAAAAGTTGGTTCATTATAGATATTAGGAACAATTAGAGATAATGGTAAAAAAGTTTCCTAAAGTCAACGATATAATGATATAGTTCCCCCATATAAACCAAAGGGTAAACAGGGCAAGCTGAGAATATATGTGTTGAACATCTAAGTGATAAAGTTGTCTAATAAATGGAATTACAACGTTTACTCAGAGAGACTTTTAATAAAAAAAGAGGCTAAAATTTTAAGAAGCCATAGAAGTGCTTATAGAAGTTGCTGCTCTCAACGCAGTCTCGTTTCTAGCCTCAAGTGATTCAGTTGATGGCAATCATTTAAAGTTATTTTGGTTCATAGGTGTGATGCGTCGGTTTCTGATATGGCCATCAGAGATGATTTGGCCTTACGTTTCAGTTTAAATTCTAAACCACGGCTCGACTAAAGTAGAATTGCTGTTTAATTTCATGCTCTGCTCTCGCGAAGAAGATTGCACGTGCAATCGAAAGGTCTAGATAAGTGGTATTAAATTAAAGTTTATTACAAAGACAAAGTATGAACACTAAAACGATTAAGCATCAAGGTGTGATGGTGCAAATTTTGGATATTGTAGATGTTATGGTGGTGGACGGCGGTTTAGACTTTTTAGACCTTTAGACTGTGTAGCCGCGGGGGAGGGGGGGCAGTTTGAGGGTGAGTCACCATACTCAAACTCCAAGGTGAAGACTTTTGGATGTTGATTTTTGCTAGAAGAAAGTCTAAAAGTCTAAAAAGTCTAAATTGCCGTTTACCACCATAACATCTACAACATCCAAAATTTGCACCATCACACCTTCCTCCGATTAAGAGCCAATAATTTGATTAGAATATTCCTTTTTAAATTAACAGCAGCCATAGACTAAACTGAAATCTATTTTATTAAAAAAAAATCTGACGTTTCGACTCTTCATAGAGTCATTTTCAAAGAATATTACAGAACATTACTGTACTTTACGCATGAGTAAACGGGGGTGTTTGCAAATTTTATCGCTTATTAAAAGACGAGAAAGTACTCACGAGTCGCTAACGAAGTCGGCGTTATGGACGTGGATAGTGATAATTGTGGTGCTAAGAATGGAAGACAAACCAAAGAAATAAAAGTCACACACACACATTTGCGTTGATGAAGTATTTGTGTTGCGTTGATGAAACATTTAGTTTTGAAAAGATCTGAAAACAGTTTTCAGCCGAAACGTTGGCGAATGTTTCGTCACATACTGGGCTTTTGAGTCTAAAATGAAGCCCAGGGTCAACTGTATTGAAGTCAATGCTGATCCGGAACTTTTGGTCTATTTCTTGCTCACGATATGAAATGGGTAACTTATATTCGCGAAGTATTAACATCTTGTCGGAAACTGCTTGGTGCTGTTAGTCGAGTTTTCGGAGAAGCACCTCCGTAAATTCGTTTAGTTTTATATCTTAGTTGCGTATTACCCAAAATGGATTACCGTATTGCTCTTTACGATTCTAAATTCTGTACACCTAGGTTATTAACTATCCCTAGTCAATAACCTAGGTTTGCCCGATCTCAGTGTCAGACGCCAGTACTTTCGACTCATTTCATTTTACAAAGTTTGCAACAATCTGACTCTTCTCGAATTTCAGGATTTTCTTGCTAAACTGACTTCTAGGTCTCTTGGAGGAGCGCAACACTAGTGTGACAGCGTAAAGTACAACTTATATGTAATGCACTCATCTTGCCTCATAAATTAGTGTGAAAACTATTTCTCCCGCTCCATTTTTGCTATTTTTAGTTGTTGGTCATGATAAGCAGAAACTTTGAATTGCATGTTTAGTTTTTCTGTTACAAGTCATTCTTATGTCTGAACTATTTTTATGTACCATGGTATGTTACCAAAACAAAAAAGACAAAATTTTTTCATCTCTTATTAAAAGACGAGAAAGTACCCACGAGTCGCTAACGAAGTCGGCGTTATTGACCTCAGAATGTTCTTAAGATTCATTCAAACGTACATTATATCAGTATTCATTCACACCAAAAGGTTTTCCGGGTTATGGTTTATGTGCTTTTGTTAAAATGTGGGTGGGCGGGCTGTAGTGGATGATTTTAATAGATTTCTGTGTGCTTTTTAGTATGGGGAACTGAAATGTTTGGTGTTTTTGACTAAAGTTTTCTGAGAATAGGACGAGTTAGGTTACGGAAAGATATTTACTTGATGTATTGTGTTCTTTATCAGGTACCGTAGCTGCTATTGCTGTTGCCGGTGTTTCTGTCGTAATGTTCGGGTAGTCTGTGATATAAAAATAGTTGTAGCTGGTGTACGCTGGAGAATTGTATCTTACCTGTTTGACGAACTGTGATTAGTCGTAGTTGGACAGTGCGAGAAGTACCATCGGGAAAGTGTAGTTGGAGAGGATAAGTTTTGATCTAAGTAGTTCTTCTGGTATACTTTGACTGAACTCTAGGTGACCAGTAGTACAGTTTTCTGGAAAATCGAAGTTCGCATATATGATCAGCGTTTGTGATTCGGTCTGACGACGTGTATGAGACAATCTAAGGCAAAAGTGATATTCAAGCAGATAGGAAAATTTACAGATGAAAGTTGTATATACGGTTTATTTTTATAGAGGCATGACACTTTGCGCGTTACATTATCATGAAAAGTTTTCAAAAAACCGAGTAAATTCATCAAGTAAATTACAAGAAAAATGACGGTTAATGAAGATGCTTGGTGTTGTCGGAGTCGTTTTATAGAAACACTTCGAACTATTATTAGGGAGAACGTTTTATTTTGCTTGTATTTATAGCATAATACATACAGAAATGCTTGTCGAGATTTCTCTTCAGCGTTTGACACTTGTATACTGACGATTTGCACCGTGTTCGGAAAAATGTCTAGTTGATCTGTCATCTATGAAAAATGAAAAAGAATAAAGTTTTCTCCCTGTAATCATTCTGAACTTCAACTAATCATCCAGTATATACGTTGCATTCTGTTTTACTCGGTTTTGTCTTCGAGAACAGAATGCAATGAGGGATTTTCCTTCGATATCTCAAGTACACAGCAAGCTCTAGTTGTCTAAGGTTACCTAACGTGAGATCGGACTAGAGTACATAGCAACGATAAAAAGTCTTTTCGCACATTTATCTTCGTTAGCTAACTAACGAACGGCTGACATTATGGAATAATAATGAAAAATTAAAAGGCGAATATATTCACTTTCTGATTCGTATACATATAATCAGGCCTGAAAAGGACCCCGCCGGATAAGGGTCGAAATCTGCCCCCTTTTGTTCCAAGCTAGTATCATGTTATATTTGTAAAGGGGCCTTGTCTCATCTGAATATAATATTTGTTTGGTCCTAGCTTTAGACTAAAAATAAAAAAAGATGGTTTTCCTATTGCATCTCAGTGGTAGGGTTTAGTTCCGTAAAATGCTTTTATCTTTTGAACAAAGCAATATTTTGAGATGCGGCTTCCACCACACCCAGAGCATATCAACTTCTATGGAATACATTGACAAACGTAAATTTAATATGTTTAAACAACATTTCAAGAAGCTTTGATTCTATATGAGATGAGACTTTACTGTCTGGCATGACTTATATTCTGAACGGGATATTTATCACGATCGGCCTACAAATTCCGATCGAGATATAATCAAAATTCGAATCGGGATATCGTTGTATCCTGACCAGACTATATTACTAAGGGACAAATACACTTATTACACCCCCCTCATATATCGACTATTTCAGTTTAAATAGCCTCTGCGGAGTTCACTGAGTGCATTCTTAACAGTCTCTGATCGATAGATCAAGGCATATATGAATCA